CTCAGGCTGGTCTTGAACTCCTGAGCTCAAGCAATCCACCAGCCTCGTCGGCCTCCCAAAGTGCTAGGATTACAGGTGTGAGCCACTGTGCCTGTCCCTTTTGTCATTTCTTTATAACAGACATACATTAATCATGACCCCTGTCCCAACTCTGCAGCCACAGATCCTGAACCGTGTGTTTTTTCCTACCCAGAAGCTGCTGTGCTAAATGAGGGCTCTGCACCCCGGTCAGAGGTTGGGAAGGGCTCCAGTTCCACCAGTGTGAGCCTCTTTGCCACCTAGTTAAGGAAAGGAGAGAAAGCTCCGGCTTTGTGATACTCCTCAACAATAAGGTTGAGGTTCTTTTTCTTGATAGTTAGGAGATCCAGGAAGTATGGGACAAAGACAGGTGAGTGGGCAGGGAAGCTAAAGGGAAACTGAGGAGCGTGTGTTGCAGGTAAAGGTTTTACTTAGTAGGAAGCTTTGGGTTCCTTCTAATAATTAAAAGTTCACATACATAAAGATAAAATCAGGTAGCATTCTACCCTGGTTTGTGCAGCCATTTAAGGATGGTGTCATAATCCTAAAATCTCCTCTGCTTCTCTTCCTCCGCCTTTTGGGTGTTCTGTAATTTCAAAGAGAAGTCATAGAGTTACAGAGGACAAGATTCTCAGTCCTTTGTACCAAAACGATCTCTGGGAAATGAGTCTGGCAGAGTTGTATAGAGATTGTGGAGCAGGGGAGAGAGCTGACCACTGTGATCTCTGTCCTTTTCTCTGGGCCCATTCAACAACTGGGACTGGCTGGTAAGGAAGGCCCTAGATGAAATCAGAAGTAACAGAGTCGGGGCCAGTTCCATGGGAGCTGAGGGTTGATAGCTGTGCAATTATACCGGCTACAAAGAAGGGAAAGAAGAGAAACAGCAAACAGTAGAAAGGTAGAGGGCTACAGACCTAATCGGCATAAATCAGCTGGAGGCATTTGGAGTTGGGTCACTTCCAGCTCCAGGGACACCATAAAGCATTGAAATAGAGTGCGGGCCATGCTAGATCAGTGGCAGATGGAAACCCCTGCGTGAGAGTAGCTGTGGATGTTCTCTGTCTCCTGCCTCCGTGCCTCCCCACCACCTGGTGAGCAGTGTGCTAATGTTTCTACACAGCCATAAGAGCTGATGCTCAGGGGCCACTCTCAGAGCCCCACAGTCTGTGTTCATGTGGGCACCACAGGGAGTTCTTCTGGGTGGTTGTCCTGACTTCCTAGCAGTCTTCCCTTCTATCCACAAAGATTAGGACTCAGACAGAGACCCTGGCCTGGCTATGAGTGGCCCAACTCCAGGACCAGCATACACCTAGGCACACTCTGATAGATATTCTCAGCTGGGCTGAATAGGAGTTTGTGTTATTGAATACCTGTGTAAGCTACAGACAGCCAATGTCTAGATCCAGCCACTCTCTGAAACAGAAGGTTTCAGCTCCAGAGACATTTAGAGATCTCCTGAATACAAGGTCCCTGTTTTACAGATAAGGAACAGGTCTGGGGAGACCAGTTTATTATTTGCCCAAGGCCACACTGTTGGTATCAGAGATGGAAATCAATTTGTGGTTTTTATGGTTCAATTCTCTTTCCAGAACGCTAAGCTGCCCTAGCTCCTCCACACAATGTCCTTCTAACTGGACTGAATTCCATCACATCATGAAGTTCTGAAGATGACCAGTTCTTTTAATTCTTCTACCTTCTTACTGAACTCTTGCCCCAACACCAAGTATTTGACAGCAGTAGACAACGGAATAAGTAGATTCTTGGGGCCGTGGGTCCTGTCTGTGTAACTTAGGCAGATGCCTTCTCTCCTCTGTGCCTCAGTTCCCTTTTCCATATAATGAGAATGAGAATGACAGCACCCAGCTCATGGGTTTCTATCAGGATTAAATGAGGTCATTCAAAGGAAGTACTTTAACGTTGCCTTAAATTCAGTGAACTAGTATGACTTTTGTCCTCACAGTTCTTACTCCAGGGTTGGTTCTATTCTAATGATGCTATTCTATCTATTTTATACATATCTGATCTTTCTCTTGCTCTCAATTACATTTTAGAACTGTCCTTGAAAACAATATTTTTTTGAATTATAAGTTCTGGTTACTGTGAACACTTGTTGAGTATTTGCCTACCTTTGCCTACAAACAGCAAAAATAAAACTATTGGTTGCATTCAAGAGACCTTCTGAGATGAAATAATAATGTTACTGGATTACTCACGGATAAATCACAACAGATTCTAACAGAGATGATACATCAGAAGGCCTGGGCTTTTGAAAATATTTGGTGTTGGGGCAAGAGTTCAGTAAGAAGATAGGAACAGAGACCATCTCATTCAAAAGTACAAATAACTCATAAGTAGGCAAATCAAGAGTTAATTCTTCTGGTGAGGAGGTGGAGGGAGACTCTCCTTTAGTACAAAGGTCTGATTCCTTGAGGCCACAAAGTCAGAAGCTGATTATCTGAATAGCTTAGAAATCCCCAAGAGAGGCAGCCTGTCTATTTAAGATCTGCTCCTTCTCCCACCCCTGCATATTTATCTCCAGAGTAGGGAAGGTCAACACAGAAACAAATCAAAGAGAGATAAGAGAGCGTGTAATTCTATATCCAGTTGGATGGTTAGCTTACAGAGATTGGCAGTTAGAGCTTGGCAGAGCACCAAAACAGTTGGGGGCACAGAGCTTGAAAGCCAGAAGGGACTTTAAGCAATTATAGTCCAATCCTTTTACTTTACAAATGAGAAAAATAAGGCTCAAGAAGTTAATGATTTGCCAGGTCACCTGGCAAGAAAGTCTTAGAGCTGGGACAAGAATTCAGGCCTCCCATTCTAATTCCAGGTCCAGAATTAGGACAGAATTTAGCAAAGTCAGAAGCATATGCTACAAAAGATGTGGCTATAATTAGGATTAGAAATGGGCATTGAGGATCCTAAACTCTGTCTGAGGGAACCCTAATTGTAGCAGCTTCTAGCACAAGTCCCCAAGTTTTCTTGAAACTGTCTTCCTCAGGCTCCCATGATACACTTCCTCATTCTCCCCTTCTCTTCACCATTCATCCTTCTGTTTTGTCATGAACCAGTTTCCCCCCCCCCATCCCTTAAGTGATCATATTCCAAAGGGATCTTTTCCTTGCACATTTGTCTTCTCCTCTCCCTGCTTGCCCTCTACTGAAAACCTCATCTATGCCATGGCTTCTGACCCCAAGATGGTACCTAATTCCATAGCTCTGACCCACGCATTTCTTCTGTACTGCAGTCCCTTATTTCCAATTGTCTAATGAGCATCTTCATCTCTGATTCAAAAAGCGCACAGCCTCTTTCTCTTCCTATGCCTTGCTTGGTGAACAGCATGCATGTAGTTGTCCAATGGGACCTTTTGAGGGACCTGAGTCTCTTCCTGACCTGAAACCCAATCATCTGGGCCCTGCCTTCTGCCTCACGGCTACCCCAATTCAGGTCTCCAGCAATCTTTTCGTT